TTGTCCAGTGGTTACCTGAGCTACACGCAGATCTGCAGGTGCTGGCCAGCCAGACTAGACCAGAAATGGAGACTCAGAACTACTTCCTGCTGGGGGTGGGGTTCTGACTTGGGTATCAGAACTATCTGCTGTGTCCCTGAAGCCCTGAAGCCCTGGAGCCAAGCATCCCCCTCCACGCAGGTGTGCCTAAACCAGGTATTTACCATGTTGGAATCTGCCCCAGGCCTGAGTCTTGCCCTCTGATCTTCTCTTCACTGGTCCCTCCAGTCATCTGTCCCTCCGTGTGTTGAGGCTAAGAAGGCTGGGGTCTGGGCCTCAGCTTCCCGGCTGCACAGGCTCCCCTCTTCCTGTGCTGGGAGGAGGAAGTGGCTAGACCAGGCCAACAGAATCAGTAGAGTGTGCACGGGCTTCAGGAGTGTAGGAGACCCTGCTCATTACCCACACTGCCTCTGCTTTAACCTGTTTCCTGTTTCCTTAACAACGGGATCTGTGAGGCAGTGGGAAGATCTGCTTACAGCCTGGTTTCTCCTGCATATTGGAAGGCCAACTAGATGTCAGTGGTTTTCATTGGCTCGGTCTTCTGGGAGAACTTGAAAATCAAACAAACAAAAAACAGGAGTCTTATTATGTTACCTGGACTGGACTCAAACTTGTGATTCTCCTGCCTCAGCCTTCTGACTAGCTTGTATTGCAGGTACATTTCAGGCTTGGGAAAATGCCTCAAGACTCAGGTACAATCCTGTACTTATCCCCTTACACTCCTGGCTTTTTTTTTTTTTTCTACCTGAAAATTATGCAATGGCTGGAACCTGAGCTAACTCCAGATAATTTCAAGTCAATCTCAAGGGCAGAAACCACACGCTGAGGATGGCTGAGCCAAAAGAAACTCCGTCATTGACTACAGCATGGAGTACTGTGCTGCCTCTGGACTGTCCACCTCTGAATTTCTTTAATGTGGAAAGAAAACAAATCGCCATGTTAAGCAGACATATTGAGTATGCGTTTGGTTTTCCTCATCGACAGAGGGGCCATGTCAGCTGGGTGCAGCTTGGTCAAGTGAATTCACATCAGAGTTAGTATTCTGGAAGGTGATGGAGGCATGTTCACCTGGAACGGGTCTTTACAGCCCAGACACCGACAAGGTTATGATCTTGAGCCAAGATATGTCTTGATCTAATTTAGAGTGAGACCTGTACCCAGGAAATGATGGCTACCAGCCAGAACCCAAAGCCATCATGACAGGCTGGCCTGCCCCCCATCAGCTGCAATAAGGTGGGGTGCATAGGCCCACATGCACCCTTGTGAAAGTTCAGGCTCAGGAGGCATCAGGTGAGAGGCAAGCAGCACTTGTGGAAGGCTGGGGCAGTTGCCTTCCAGGTGTCAAGGGCACGGAAGCAAACCCCAAGCTGTGCTGGAATTGGCAAGAAGCCAGGGCCTTCACCCAAGAAGGTGAAGCACCTGCTGCCCAAGCAGGAAGGGGTGAAGCCAGAGGCCACAACTAGTGAGCCCTGCAGACAATCCCTTGCTCAGGGATGGGAGGTTAGGTGAGGCCTCTAAGCTGGGTCACCAGATAACTAGCTGAAGGATTCGGGGGTATTCAGCCCAACAAGAAAAGGCATGGTGACTCAGACCTGTAACCTCAGCACTCCGGAGACTGGAGTGGAGGAGGCTGGAGTTCTGAGGGCAGCCCAGGCTGTGTGCTGAGTGGTAGGCCAGCCTGGGCTACAGAGGGCTATCTCAGGAACCAAACAAACCTTAGAGGAGGGGCTGCGGGGATGACTCAGTGGTTAAGAGCACGTGCCGCTCTCCCAGAGGACTGGCATTCGGTTCCCAGCCCCCACACGATGGCTCACAACCACGTGTAACTTCAGTTTTGACGGTTGTAAGCCACCTTGTGAGGGCCGGGAACAGAACCAAGGTCCTCGGCAAGAGCAGTAAGTGCTCTTCTCCACTGAACCAATGCTTCAGCCCCGCCGCTTGCCTAGAGCTGCCTTATGAAAGATTGAGCGGCCCGACCCTGAAGGTGACCGCAAGCGCTGGGTAGATGATTGTTTTGGCCCCCGACAAGTCCACAGAGTAGACGAGTGGGTCTGAAGCCTATAAGATTCCTCTAGAGAAGAGGCCTATCGCTAGAGAGAGGACACCGGGGAGTGCCAGGTGGGAGTGGGCAGAGAGAAGGAGTGTGCAGAGAGAGGTCTCTTTGCACTTCCACCTGACACTACCCCACCCTGCCTGGGGCTTGTGGCCCAGCTGAGTCTGCTCTCAGGGATGGGGCTCTGAGACCACTGTCACTTTTGCCCTTTCAGCTTGGGTGAGGTTGGCACCGTGAGGCAGGGGACCTAAGTCAGAGCTGAAGGTTGTGGACAGATAGACAGACAGATCAGACCAGACCAGACTAGAAATGGAGACTCAGAACTACTTCCTGCTGGAGGTGGGGTTCTGACCCACGTATCAGAACTATTTGCTGCTTCCCTGAAGCCCCGTGGCCCTCAAGCATTCCCCTGAACACAGACATGCAAAACCAGATATTCATGGGGCTGGAATCTGCCCCAGGTGCCCACGAGCAAGTTAGGCCTGAGTCTTGCCCTCTAGTCTTGCCTTCAGGAATCCCCAGACATCTGCGCTGCTGTGTGCTGTGTGCTACAGTTGCATCAGACAGGGAGATGCAGGGAGACGAGGCACCAGCCCACCATCCTGTCAGCCTCTCAACACTGCCTCAGACACCAGGTGTCCTGAATCACCTGGATGTGCTTCCATTTCTGGCCCTCAGGAGGGTGTGTGTGTGTGTGTGTGTGTGGTGTCTGGTCCAACCTGCCCTTGATGGCTGTGCATATTTAGGAGCAGATTCAGGAAGCTGAAGCCATATTAAGGTCTGGCCCCCGACTACAGGTCCGGCTTCTCTGCCTCCTCCCATGAGTCCCCTGCCCCGGGGGGTCAGGCTGTGGGAAAAGGGAGGGCAGGAGGGCACAGCACGAGCAGGTGGGCAGGGGCTGCAGGGCTGGGTGGTATTCTCATTACTGGCCAGTGGAGAGGGCCAGCCTGGGCTCCCCCTGGGCCAGGCCACTGGCGGCCTTCACACCTTCTGGCTGCCTGTTGACACGAAAGGCTGCCTCCCTCGGGGCAGAAGGTGTTAACTTGGGAACTGGAGTGTGCACGGGCCTCCAAAACAGCCAGCTCCTCAAAGCCCCAGAGAATACTTGGGGCAGGAGCCAGAATAAAGGCAGGGTTGTATCCTTGGACCAGAGATGGGAGGTGTCCAGGGGCTCTGAGTCGCTTCTTCTGGTCCTGGGACTGATGTCCGATGTTGGGCATGGCCAAAGGAGCCTCCTGACAAGGCTTCATCTGGCAGAGCACCCCCAGTGTCATAGGGAGCCCCAGACACTGACAGCCACCAGGGCAAAGCCACAGAGACGCCCCAGGATCTGGGTTTCTCCCTGTCAGGCCTCAGAAGAGCCTGTTTTGAGCACTTCTGAGTTCAAATCCCATGGCTCATCCCACGGTGTTGTTCTTGCCCATGGAGGTGCCATCTGTCACGTAAGGCCACTAGATTCTAACCCCATGGCGCCTGGCTTTGAATTACAGACTATTTATTACACTTGGGCCAGGGCTAAGGGACAAGCGGCCTGCTCTTGTGTCGGGAGGAGGGAAAGGACCGATAGGTCAGCTCTGAGTCTGGGGGTGACCTGGTGTGCAAGGTGCCTGGAAATCAGGAAGGCCGTCAAGGCAGGGCTCCATGGTAAAGGAGGGCCTGAAATTGTGGGCTTTCTTTCTTTCTTTCTTTTTTTTTTTTTTGAGACAGTGTTTCTCTGTGTAGCCCTGGCTGTCCTGGAACTCACTTTGTAGACCAGGCTGGCCTTGAACTCACTGAGATCCACCTACCTTTGCCTTTCAAATGCTGAGACTAAAGGCGTGTACCACCGCCCGGCAAATTGTGGGTTTTCTACATGTAGAGGGGTTACTGACAGAATAAAAAATAGGAGACAGACCTGGAAGTCTGGGGCTGGGTGGGTAGGGCCGGGGTATTCGAACCCTGGCACAGGGTGGGAGAGGTAGGAGATGGTGTGGTCAAGCTGGGTGGGGAGCTTGATCTTAGGAAGGCAGTGGGATCCACAGGATTTTGGGGTTGGCGGGGGGAGTTGGAAGGGAAAGAGGACACTGATTACAGCAGGCAGGGACTGGCTGGAGCCAGGGCAGGACAGGGCAGGGCAGGGTAGTGGGTCTGGGCCAGGACCAGTGCAGCGTGTGTTGAAGGGTGTGAACGAGAGCGTGGCTGACTGGGGAGCAGGGAGGGGCTGGGGTCCCAGGCATTGAAGGAGCTGGAACACAGCCAGGGCTCGGAGCCCACCCTCTGCTTTCCTCTGACCGGAAGGCTAAGCCAGGCGGGACAACAAGGTCTAGTGGAGGCACTCCTACCCAGGGCCAGCAGAGGCCGGGTTTGAGTCTCACCTGCAGCATCTGTGAAATGGGAGATGGAGCCTGCACTAGGCACCTGCCGGGGTTGCAATGGCGAAGGAGGGACGTGGGGAGGGGACGTGTCCATCCAGCTGGACCACAGGGGCTACAGTGTCTGCCCTTTCCTCCTCTCCCATCTCCTCCCTCCGTTCCCTCTTTTCTTTCTTCCACTAAAGTGATACCCAGACCTTACAGAGCAGTAGGAAAACACTGGGGAAAATAAGCACCCCAGTTTAACCCACCCAGAGGGAAGCTCTGTGGCCACATCTCCACATCCTAACAAACGGCAGGTTCACCTCTGCTGGACAGCTGCACCAGCGCCTGACTACAGGGCTCCGAGAGACCTGGGGCCCTCCTCGGCTGTTTTCTGCTGGTTTAAGACAGCGTCTCATGTAGCCTATACTGGCTTTGCACGCCCCCTCTCGATTCTAATCTCAGCTGCTGGGGTTAAAGGTGTGTGTGCCACCACGCCTGGCTGGTTTTTATTTATTGTATACTTTTAAAATATGATCTCGCACGCCTTTAATCCCAGCACTCGGGAGGCAGAGGCAGGTGGATCTTTGTGAGTTCGAGGCCAGCCTGGTCTACAGAGCGAGATCCAGGAAAAGGCGCAAAGCTACACAGAGAAACCCTGTCTCAAAAAACCAATATATATATATATATATATATATATATATATATATATATATATATATATATATGATCTCATGTGGCCCAGGCTGGCCTCAAACACTCTACATACCTGAGGATGACCTTGAGCTCCTAATTCTTCTGCCTCCACCTCACGAGTACGTAGAGACACATGCCATGTGTGTGTGTGTAGGCCAGAGGCTGATGCTGTCTTCCTCAGTCATTTCTCCATCCTGTTTGGAGACAGGGTTTCTCAGTGAATCCAGAACTCCCGGATTCAGCTAGACTGACTGGCCATGGAGTCCTGGGGGTCCTCCTGTCTTCACTTTCCTGGTGTCGGGTTCCAGGTGCACGATGATGTGCCTGGTGTTTTATGTGAGCTCTGGGGGACCAAACGTGGGTCCTCATTTCTGCACAGCAGTACCGTACTGACTGAGCCTCTCTGCAGGCCTGGGCTTTGGTTTGTTTGTTTAATTTTAGTAAGGTTCTAGTAGATTCTTCATGAAAAGATTTTTCAAATTTTATCCTCCACTCAGTGTGTGTGTGTGTGTGTGTGTGTGTGTGTGTGTGTGTGTGTGTGTGTGTAAGGAAGGGGTGCCCTCCTTGAATGTGAAAGTCAAAGGACAACTTGCAGCAGGAGTTGGTTCTCATCTACCGCGTGGGCCCTAGGGGCAGTTGGGCTTGGCGACAAGCACCTTCACCCACTGAGTAATCTTTATGGCCCTATATTTCCCTAGACAAAGAAAAGTAAAAAGCACGTTGAGATAGAAGTCACAGTTTAAGATTTTGTATAACACATTTTTAATTTTTAAAAAAATATCAATCTATAACCTAAAAATTTCCAAGCCTTGTGGTTATGCATGGCTACAAGTCTGTCACTCAGGAGGCTGAGGCAGGAGGATTGCCATGAATTTGAGCCTATCCTGGGCTACAGCATGACATTCTGTCTACAAACACACACACACACACACACACACACACACACACACACACACACGTAGCTAGAGTTTTCCTGCCTGGCCCACAGTCATGACAAATCTCTGTCATCCGCCAGTCCCATAGCCGCTCAGACCCAACCAAGTAAACACAGAGACTTATATTGCTTACAAACTGTATGGCCATACCAGGCTTCTTGTTAACTGTTCTTATATCTTAAATTAATCCATTTCTATAAATCTATGCCTTGCCACGTGGCTCGTGGCTTACCGGCATCTTCACATGCTGCTTGTCATGGTGGTGACTGGCAGTGTCTCTGACTCAGCCTTCCACTTCCCATAATTATTCTCCTCCATGTCCTTCCTATACTTCCTCTTGCCTGACTACTGGCCAATCAGTGTTTTATTTACTAACCAATCAGCAACACATTTGCCATATAGAACATCCCACAGCACTTCCCCTTTTCTTTTTTTTGTTCAAAAAGGAAGGTTTTAACCTTAACAAAGTAAAATAACATATAATTTGGGAATTTGGGCGTAGCTTCTCTTACTACTTCCTGCTGGAGGGGGGCGCTGTATCTTATGGGGACACAAAGAAAATTTTAGGATTATGGAATAGTCCATGAGGCTGTATTGTCTGAGCCAGTTGCCTTCAAACCATTCTGGATGTTGGATCATCTGGGCCATGGTGTCATCGGAGACCTTTCAGGGGGTCTTGGCTGGTCAAACCTGATGTATCTTAATCTGGAACAAATCCATAGCCTCTGGCTTTCTGTGGAAACAAAAGCAGAGCCTCCTTTCCAAAGCAACACATCCTTACATCCAAATTTTGAAGTCAAGGTATCTTTAAAATATACATATTGGTTTAACTCAACATCTTTTATGATCAAATGTTTTTCTGCAGTTAAAAATCCCAAAGACAACACAATCTAGATTCTCTGTGTAATATTCATCTTTACGTGGCTTATTTTTTTATATTAATTTTACTGTCTCCTTAAAGACTTTATTTTTAAAACTATGTATTTGTTTATATAACTGTATATATCACCTTTTTTGTCTCTTTCAAGTCTACGTATATTTTATACACATTGTAAACTATTACATCTGAATCTGTCTTATTGTGAATCTATTGCTTTAAACTGCAGCATTTGTAAGACTGAAACTGCGCTATGGCTGCTGGCTCTGTCCACCTCAGCTTCCCAACATGGCGGTGGTACATTTACCGCCAGCTCTGGGAGCTATTGTGGGTCTATGCTTTTATCCAAGCAGTGTGTAGTCCAGAAACCTCTTTTTTTGTTTTGTACCTGCAAAGGCTAAATCCACCACACAGCTTAATGTGCCACTTGCAGAGGCCTCATTCCCGCCATACTGCAGATCGAGTGCGCATGCTAGGAACCCACCAGTAGCTCAAACTGGCAGCTGCCGCTCATTTGAGAGAGGCAATTAGGAAGCTGTTTTTAGCTCCGTTTTAGAATCTTTTCTCAGGTTTTGGGTGGAAACTCTTGCCAACTCGTTGGGCGCCATTTGTATACTTCCTCCTGCCTGACTACTGGCCAATCAGTGTTTTATTTACTAGCCAATCAGAGCAACACGTTTGCCATACAGAACATCCCACAGCGCACACACACACACACACACACACACACACACACACACACCACACTCACACACATATACCACACTCACACACACACACACATATATATACATAACACACACATACACATATAACACACACACACACACCCCACACTCATGTACTCCCCCCCCCCCCCCCCCCGTCCTTGTGTTAGGGGTGGAACTTGGCGCGTCACCCACCCTAGATGTTTGTTTTCTTCCCCAGTGTTGAGAATCGCTGCCCCGACCTCAGTCTAGTGAGGGAGGCCTTTGCAGGATGAACGGGAGGCCTTCAAAACCTGTCTTTGGTGGCATCTCCATGACATAGATTATACTCACGACGCTGCTGCTGCCGCCAAACTGTTTTCATCACTCCAACAGGAACCTGGTCCCTCCTGAGCACCAAGAGCACCCTGTTGCCCCCTCCTCACACCACAGCCTTTCACCTGCTCCCTTCCTGTGCTCTGCCCTCTCTGGACACCTCTTGTCACGGGAATCACACCACTTTTGTCCTCGGTGTCAGCCTCCGTTCACTCAGCATCGAGTTTCTGAGGCTCATCCAAATTGTGGCATGTATCATATGGCATCCTTTTTATGGTTGAGTAATATTCATGGTAGGTTTGGACCACCTTTTCATCCATTCATCTACTGGGGCCACTTGAGCTGGTCCCAGTGTTTACTATTTGACAGAGACGCTCTGAACATCGGCCTACAAGAAGCTGCCTGAGCCCCTGCGCTCGGTTCCTTGAGTGTACAGGGAGCACATTGGGCTTTGTTTGATTGTTTTGAGACAGAGTCTTAAGTATCCCAAGCTTTGCTCTGAGTTCTCTGTGTAGCGGAGGATGACTCTGAGTGCTGGGATCCCAGTGAGTCCCCATACCCAGTCTTGTGGTATTGGGAAGGAAACCCCATGTATCCTGGGTAAAGTCCTCTGTCACTGGCTATTCCCCCAGCCCTGAAAAATGATTTTAAAATTGCACACATGAGCCAGGCATGGTGGCACATGTCTGTAATCCCAGCATTGGGGAGGCAGAGTTAGGAGGATCAGGAGTGTTGGTGAGGCCAGCCTGGGTCACATGAGATGTTTGGGTTTTTTAAAATAATTTATTTAACTTTATTTTATGTGCATTGGTATGAAGGTGTCAGATCCCCTGGAACTGGAGTTAGAGACAGTGGTGAGCTGTCATGTGGGTGCTGGGAATTGAACTTGGGTCCTCTGGGAGAGCAGCCAGTGCTCTTAACCGCTGAGCCATCTCTCCAGCCCACATGAAATGTTTTAAAAAAAGAACAACAATAGATTGCACATGTAAAAAAAAATTAAAAAGAAGAAAAGAAGCCTTACAAAATTGTGTCAGTAATTTATAGATGGAGTTTCCTTGTGAAAACTAAGCATTACTATGAAGATTCATAAGTCTCTTGAAATTTGAACCCAGACTCACCCACTCCCCCCAGCATAGGTACTACATGGTAATAACAGTCAACAGTATGTACAACATGGTCCCTGAGATCTCACAGTGAAGGTGTGGCTACCTCAGTTTGTGCCGCTGTATTCTACATGGCGACCAAACTGTGTCATGTTTGGAGACCATATCCCTGCAGCTGAAGGACACGAGTGCACCCACCAAGCCTTGAGGACTCTGTCTGTGCGTCTACACACACATACACTGCAAACCCTCGCAGAGCACCCAGCTCCACAGGCTGCTTTTCGTGCAGAGCTATTTCATGAGTTTGGAGTGTTTTGGCTTTGCTGGGACGCACGGTCTCATACTGAATGGCCATTTCTGCACCCGAGTTGTCGCTCAACATGCCCACACCTTCACTTCTTTCCTGTCAGGACAGGTTCCCATTCAGAATGGCTGGGCAAGGTGCGTGGGAACCCGTTTTGAAACCTGGGGCCAGCCCATGCTCTCCCAGGGACTGGGATAGACATAATCTCAGGGGTGAAGAAATCTCCTGGGTCAGGCCCAGGGCTGCCTCTGGACTTGTCTTGGAGAGAAATCAAGGGTCAACTCCACCAGATCCTTGGTTCTAAGAGCAAAGTGCTGACCCATGAGGCCCTCCTCCTTTTTCTTGATCATGGGGCCAGCCTAAGCTCCAGCCGCTTCTCCTATTTGTTCTGCAGCCCCTTTGGCATGGCCCGACTCTCTTTCCTGGGTCTAATGCCTGCTTTCTGTGCCATTGAGACAGAGCCTTAGAGCTGGCTGAGGGCCTTGGTTACCCCTGGACCTTGGTGTGGGAGTCTCTCTCCTGTCCCTGCCTGTAGACCACTTACCTGGTGCTTCACTGCTGTGGGGCGGGTGCTGGGGATCCGAGGAGCCCCATAGTCTCACTCTGCACGTCGGTAGTTGAACTGGGTCTGCAGAGCCTCCCAGATGGGCTGGAACAAAGAATCTCAAGTAGCCCGTGAGTAGAGCTTCAGCTTTGGGGCTGACCTTTCACGTTGCTTGTTTGTCTGGAGACAGGAGCCCAGGCTAGTCTCAAATCGACAATGCAGCCGAGCTTGCCCTTGATCTCCTGATCTTCCTGCCTCTATCTCCCAAGTGCTGATACCACAGGCATACACCACCAAGCCCACCTCTTTCTCTGCTTTAGCTGGACCTGGGGCTGTGTGTTCCCGGCCTCTCCCTTCTCACTTCTCTGGGCCCCTGTCTTGCTTTGCTGTCCGCATATAAATACATTTTTTTCCTACTGGGTTGATGAACAGACAGGTTCACACAGCCCATCCCACAGGCATGGGCATCCCCTCGTGTTCCCAACATCTCATCCCACCTTAAAACATAACCTCAGATACAGTTCCAGCAAAATTCTAGTGGTTGGAGGAAGGTTGGCCGGGTCAGGTTTAAAGCTTCCACGATGTTCCATGTTTATAATCCCAGCACCCAGGAGTGTGAAACAGGATGAACCTCCCAGAGTTGAGACCAGTCTAGGTTGTATAGTTTGAGGCCATTCTGGCTTCCTAGGGAGGGGGAGACCTTGTCAAAAAAAAAACCACAAACAAACAAATAAATAAATAGCTTTCAAGTGGCTGTACATCACCCTCTGCCGGCAGCAATTGGGAGTGCAAGAACGTAGGAATGCCCAGGAACCAGCAGAGGTCTCCACAGGCAGAGTCCCTGATCCATTTAGATTGAGGACCTGAGGGGCACGCCACACTTCCTGCATTCATATGTGTTTGTGTCTTTGCTTTGGGATAGCTAGCCCAGATCCTTAATCCTTTTATATCTCAATTTCTCCTGTTTTCATTCTAAGGCTCAGACCCACCCCCAACTTACCTGGCTGAGGCCATGAATCATAAATATGACACCCCTAAAGAGAGAGGTGATACCTACTCCCTCAGTATTATCAACCAGCCTCAGACCCACGGGGCTTCTGGCATTTCCTCTTGAGCCTTTCCGGGGGTGGGGAGGGGTGATCTGCCAAATCTCTTTCCTCTTTTCCCACCCCCTCCCTCCTCATCACCCCTCTGCTGCCTGTGGCTGCCACTGGCTGAGCATCCAACTGGCCCACGACCAGATAATCAGATTATCCGGGGTCCAGAATAATATACTCCAGATGGTGTGCCAGCTCTGTGGCTCCGGAGCTAAAGGTGTGAGGAGGAGGAGGAGGCCGGCGGGGGTTTGGGGGGAAGGCCGCCCCGGGAGCCTCAGGAACCTCGGAGAGTCTTATCGGGCAGGCATGTGGGGTGGTTGATGGGGAAGGAGGAAGGAGGTATGGGGGGGTGAGAAATGGGGGCCTCTGTTGCTGGGCTTTCTAAGTAGATGAGTCCTGACTCATCTATCTGTGGCCCAAGGAATGAAGGTCCCAGGGAAGGGAGGAGCTGGCCACTCTCTCGTGCCCTTTCTGTCTCTGGATTGGGAGGTGGTACTTTCATTATTTTGGAGAGATTTTGAAAATATTTACCATTATTGTATATATGGGGTGTTGTGCATACACACACACACACACACACACACACACACACACACACACACACACTTGCAGGTGCACTGGTGGCAGTCAAGGACAACGTGTGGGTCCTGAGGATTGAGGAATGAACTCCAGCTGCCTGGCTTGGAAGCAAGTGGCCTTACCCAGTGAGCCATCTCATGGGCCTGGATTTTATGTTCCTGGATTCCCAGGCTCCATCCTGCAGAACTTCTGGCCCACGTGGTCCAGGCTGGGGCCTAGAAACCTCTTTCTTCCTATGTCTCCTTGGGGCTCTGAGATGTGAAGTAAGGTCTGCTGGGGATTTAAGGGTCCCCGGAGATTAGAGGCTGCAAGGCCATTTTACATAGCACCCTTGATTAGCAAGGCTATGTCAGAGGGGCTGGCTGGGAAGTGAGGGCGCTGAGGCTGGAGAATGGCTGGGAGTGTGGTGCTCAGGCTCCAGCCCAAAGGCTGAGGTTAGATCCTGAGCCTGAAAGTCACCCCGTTCCCCTGCCCCACGCCCCTCCCCATCCTGCATGCCCCCTACCTGGCTGAGGCTTGAACTTTCACCTCTGTTTTGGTGGGGTGGTGGCAAGGCCTCATTTCCCAGCCTTACACATTGGCAACCAGGGGAGGCTCGGGCCAGGGGAGCAGAAGCCGCTGGCTCTGGCACTTGTCAAAACATAGGCCCCAAAAGTGTGAAGGCCTTGGCCCAGCGGGGAGGCTGTATGGGCCAGTGCAGCCTGGAGAACTCATTAACTCAAAGCAGGTCCCGAAGAACCCACTGAAGACAGTGGCCAGATAAGGAGATCAAAGGGGCGGGTGGAGGGAAGCCGAGGCTGGGACTGCCCTTGCACCAGCTGGGCCCCGAGGTTTCCCAGAGACCACGGGGACAACAGGGGGACAGGGGAGGGAGGGACTCCACGAGGCACTTCAGTGACTTAGTCTTCCGATGGGGTTGGAGACAGGACCTGCCATCAGCCCCGCCTCTCATGCGGTCCTTGTTAGGCTTTCACCTCCTCACTAACTCTGGGCCTTTTAAACTTTCCCTCATCTCCAACACCATCTTATCCCGACTTAACTTTGTACTTAATGAAATGAAATGCACTTCAAAGCACCATTAACGAGAAGCAAGCAATGAGCAGTGCCAGTCCGGACTGGAGCAGGCAGGCAGAAGGAAGCTCCAGACGCATGCTCATCAGAGGATTGGCTACGCCCTCGGGACCCGGACACCTTTTCATTTTAAACCATGTGCACCTACTGCATTTTCAAGTTAAGACACAAGGACTCGCGGTGAATTTTCTTAATTTCTGGCTATACTGTGAAATCATGGCCACATGGGAATTGGAGTGTTTGGGACACTCAGGTGTTCTCAGAGCTGAGACCTCACCCCTCCTGCCTGTGGAGGCCTACCGCGTACACTGTACACTCCCACCTTGCCCCAGCATACAGCACATCCCCAGCTCCTTGTCTGGTGTCAACCAAGAAGCACAAATCTGGAGCTCGAGGTTCTTGTTCAGATCGGGAGCTGGAGGAAGGCATCCATTTGCCACAGGTCAGGAGGGGTAGACCCTGTGGACAGCTGCAGGCTGAGAAGGGACCTTCTGGGCCAGGCACATAAGCAAGTTCACATAAGCATGGGTTCCACTTCTCCACTCCCAAGGGCAGGAGAGTACCCGCTTCTCTGGGTGGGACTGCGGGCTTGTACCTTCTGATAGAAGGCAGAGGGAAGGATGGAGAAGTGTTTGAGGAGGCAAGAGATGAAGGGATGGGAGAAGGTAGAGATGCCCAGAGAATTAGGTACCAATCCAAGGGGCCTTCACTACTACAAACCGTCACCCATCTAGAAGACATATGGGGTACAAAATTCCAGACCCCTGGGAGACCTGGGGTGCCACTCCTCTGAAGAAGGGATACAGATGTGATGCCAGACACCAGGCACTTTGTGGCCCGACTGAAGAAAAGGCAGCCATAAAGTATGCACCAGGCCAATGGCATAAACTCAGGCCTGCAGGGCTGGACAGGCAAACCAGATACTCTGCCTGGTGCATGTTAAGCAAGTACTCTGCCAGCCCTATTGTTATTTTGAGACAGAGAGTTACTAAGTCATCCATGCTGGCCTCCAACTTACTCTGTAGCCTAGCCGGACTTTGTGGTTCTCCTGCGTCAGCCCCTCAGACAGACAGATCCCAGATCTGCCCATCAGGCTCAGGGGCTTGGTTCTGAGGTATGCCTCAAACTCACTACGTAAGTGAGATGAGGGTGTTTTTCAGTTTTCTGTGTGTATGAGCACCTGTGTGTATATAATGTACTACATGCACGTGTAGTGTCCAGAGGCCAGTGCTGTGGGATGTTCTGTATGACAAATATATTAATTAGTAAATAAAACACTGATTGGCCAGTAGCCAGACAAGGAGTATAGGCGGGACTAACAGAGAGGAGAATTAAGGGAACAGGAAGGGAAGGAGGAGACTGCCTGCAGCCGCCACCAGGACAAGGAAGATGTAAGGTACCAGTAAGCCACGAGCCATGTGGCAAAGTATAGATTAATAGAAATGGGTGAATATAAGAGTAAGAGCTAGACAGTGATAGGCCTGAGCTAATGGCCAAGCAGTTTAAATAATGTAAGAGTCTGTGTGTTTATTTTATAAGTGGGCTCCTGGACTGGCGGGACTTGGCGGGAGCTGGAGAGAAATTCTCCAGCTATAGGCCAGAAAAGTGGAGTCCCCTGGAACTGTGTTACAGACAGCTGTGAGCCACCACGTGGGGGCTGGGAATCAAACCTGGGTCTTCCAGAAGAGCAGCCAGTGCTTTTATTTATTTATTCATTCGTTCATTCATTCGTTTGGTTTTTTGAGACAGGTTTTCTTTGTGTAGCCCTGGCTGTCCTGCAACTCACAGAGATCTGTCTGCCTCTGCCTCCCGAGGGCCAGGATCAAAGGAATCAAAGGTGTGCGCCACCACTGGCCAGCTGAGCAGCCAGTGCTCTTAACTACTGAACCTTGTATCTAGGTGGAAGATGGACTTGATCCTGACTGTCTGGTCTTTCTGTCTTTACCTCCCCAGTGGAGTCACAGGCCAGTGCTACTCCAGGCCTTCCTACAGGCCAGGCAGACATCTACCAGCTGAGCCACACCCCCAGCCCTCTACTAGGTATTTTTGAGACAGTCGTGTAGCCCAGAATAGCTTCAAATTCACTTTGTAGCCAAGGCTGGCCCAAACTCCGGATCCTCTTGTCTTCATGTCCTAAGTGCTGGAATTACAAGCATGTGTCATACACCCAACTCCTTGAGACTATGTGAATAAACATGCTGCATGTAAGTGGGGACAATTTTTTATTTCTCTTCAACTTGTATTTATTTCTCTTTATTTTTTCCAACCAAGACTCTCCATCCAGCCCAACACTAAACAGGTGTGGTAAGAGCAGCCATCCTCACTACCCAGGCACGGCAGCTCACAACTGCAATGCCAGCACTCAGCTGAGGCAGGAGGATCAGGAGTTCAAGGACAGTTACAGTAAGTTCAAGACTAGCCTGGGCTACATGAGACCCTGTTTCAAGGCAGGGCTGGGGGAGGGCAGGGGTCAGGGGGACAGGGCACGAGATGGCACAGCAGCAGCTAAGAAGAGCACGCTGCTCTTGACGATGACGACTCAAAGTTCAGTTCCCAGAAGTCACCTCAGTCAGCTCGCCACTGCCTGTAACTAACTCCAGGTCCTGAGGAATGTGACGCCTCCGGCCTGTGTGGGCACTGGCACAGATGGTTGCACACATACACACATATACACAATAAAAATAAATCTTAGGGGGCTGGAGAGACGGCTTAGCAGTTAAGAGAACTGACTGCTCTTCCAGAGGACCTGGGTTCAATTCCCAGCACCCACACGACAGCTCACAACCGTCTTTAACTCCAGTTCCAAGGGATCTGACACCCTCACACAGACATACATGCAGACAACACACCAATGCACGTAAAATAAAAATAAATAAATTAAAAAAAATCTTAGATAAAATAAAAGGCACCTACAAGAACCTAACAGGTAGCACCCTATGAAATAGAGAGATTACAAGACTGCTATGGGACAGGGGGAGATGTCTGCTTTTTGTTTGTTTGAGACAGGATCTCATGAAGCCCACGTTAGCCCGGCCTACATACAGCCAGGACTGGCCCTGATCCCCCTGCCTCTGCCTCCCAAGTGTGCCACCACACCCAGCTCAGGGCTGTTGAGTTTTGTCAAATGCTAGTCACAGGAGAGCTGGAGAAATGGACCAAGTTCCCAAGAGCAGAGTGACTTGTAGTGTAGGGAGGCAGGTTCCCCTTCCCCCCTGCCCAGACAACCCAGCAGCCTCACCAGTTGGGATAGTTTCTTCATTGTGCCTCCCCCAGCCTGGGCATCAAGGAAGGGCTAGAGGCTACCACCAAGCTTCTGAGGAGGAATGGGCTACAGTTCTCTGGGTGTCTAGAGGTTCCTACCCTAGTCCACAGTTGGCCAGTGCAATCCAGGAATCTCATCATACAACTTGTAAATTAAAATGATGGGGGGAAATGGCGTAGGGTCCCTAATATATGAAGGAATACCCTAAACCTAGGAGTTGGACTTCAGTTCTTTGAGCATGGTTCTTCCAACTTGCAAGGCTGGTTCAACGCCCTGGGCACCGCAGGTCATAGGTTCCTGTCTTTGTGAGGCCCCAAATATGACCCAGTAGGGTCGGCTGAACCAAGGGTCCTGCACCTTAGATGCCCCTGGCTCTTGGTTCAAAGGGTAAGGCCCTGCCCCCACTCCTGGCTCGAGCCGGCTTTGATGTGCTGATGAGTCCTGGAAGGGGCCACTTCACACCTTGGGCTCGGGATAAAGCTGCCGCGGGCCCAATGGACCGGCCTCCGCTGCCATGGCCCAGCCCCTGTGCGCGCCGCTCGCCCAGTCCTGGATCCCGGGTCCCGCTCGTCGTCCCTCGATGGTGCCTTCCGACCGGGACAGCGTCTGCTCCCCGGGCTGGCACTCGGACTCGTGGGACGGTGCCCAGGCCGGCAGCCCCACGCCACCCTGTGCCCGCCCGGCCCGGCGCGCTGGGACCCCCGGCAGGCGCGGGACGCACAGCAGCCGCCTGGGTAGCGGCCAGCGGCAGAGCGCCAGCGAGCGGGAGAAGCTGCGCATGCGCACGCTGGCCCGCGCGCTGCACGAGCTGCGCCGCTTCCTGCCGCCGTCCGTGGCGCCCGCCGGCCAGAGCCTGACCAAGATCGAGACGCTGCGCCTGGCCATCCGCTACATCGGCCACCTGTCGGCCGTGCTGGGCCTCAGCGAGGACAGCCTCCGGCGACAGCGGCACGCAGGCGCGGCGTCACCTCGTGGTTGCCCGCTGTGCCCCGACGGCGGCCCCGCGCAGGCGCAGTCGCTCGGTCTGCATCTGAGTCCCGCTGCCTGCAGCGGGGTGTCGTGGGGTTCCCCGCCCGCCTGCCCTGGACCCCGAGTCGTCGCAGAGTCCTGGGACCCATCGTTCCTGTACGCCGAGACAGAGACAGCGCCCTTGGAAAGGCAGGAGATGGAGCCCAGCCACTCGTCTCCGGTTAGTAGCCCCTTCCCCGCGCCGTCTGGGTGGCGCCCCCTGCTGTCGGGGCGGCGACCCACAACCTCACGGCGCGCACCATCCTCATTGCTGCACCTCGGAGGGCAGCTGACCTCACCCGATCTCCCTAGCGAGCATCCCCTCAGTTCCCTGTGTGCCCAAACGGGGTGGGGTCGGGGGAACCGGCAGGGATTGAGGTCGCTTTGCTCGCTCGAGGAGCCTGGAGCGTGGAGCAGATGAGCGCGCGGATCAGGCACTAGGGCAGGTGTTGACTGCGGCGCTGTTCACTCTTTCTGCAGCTCTTCAGCAGCGACGTGCTGGCTCTGCTGGAAACCTGGACGCCGCAGGAGTGGCCGCCAGCCTGAAGCGTCAAAGGGACTATGGATGATCGGCACCCTATCTGAGCACAGAGACTTTTCCTTTTGCCTCCGCCCCTTCGAAGCGAGTATTTCCTGGAAGAGGCACCAGCGATACCAACGTGGGCATTCCCGGGGTGGGAGCCTCACCTAGACCGTACCTTCCCAACCCTCCTTGGGAAGGAGGGACCCATAGGGTAAATGCTCTGAAACTGAAGCAGGCACACGACGCTGCTTGGTGTATATTTATTTATTTGTGAATAAACCGTTTGTGCTGGTGTCATTTGGTGTTTGTGGGTCCCGTCCGTCCCTGTCCCGTGTCCTTCCTCCCGTCCCTCCTCCAGGAACTCTCACTGTAAGGCCCAAGCTGGCCCAAACTCATGCTGGGATTATATGCACAAGCCCATATATCTTGCTGGAAGTTCTGGTACACGGCAGGAAAGCTAACATGGGGTTGCTGAGAGGGAGTCTTTCGTCTTCAGCCTGGAAACACAGGCCCGGAGCCCTGTAGTCTTCTACCTCTATCCTGGTCCACGGCTATCTGTGGGTCAGTCTGGGAGGGGCGGGGTAGGGTGGAGTGGGTGGGGCTTCCTGAGAGAAGGTGGCAGGACGTAGTTCATCTTTTTCCAACTTAGGGAGGAACTGGATAACCACAGGATACTTCTGTAGAAAATCCAACTCCATTAGTGTGTATTGTGCCTTGGTGACCTTTCCATATATTTTACAGAAGCATAAAGGTAGGTCTCGGACCCATGTAGGACTTGGGCATTGGAGTGCTCAGCCACGGGAGGATAGTGCCATGTCTTCATTCTGGGCAACTGGGCTGCAGCACCAGGGACACTGTCCCTGGACCTGATTCTCCCATGTGGCTTCCAGAAAGAGATAACATTCCCACCCCTGGAGCTGAGGACCGAACCCAGGGCCTTGCGCTTGCCTAGCAAGAGCTCTACCACGGAGCTAAACTCCCCAACCCCGAGAGAGAACATTTGTAGGAGAGCTGAGTTGGTGTGATCATGGTCCCTTGGAGGCCTGGCTAGGGTGAGGTGAAGGACTTGGTGATTGCTGACCTGTGCTGGTGGAATTCAGATCGGGAATACGCAGCCGAGAAGACGCGCACTTGGAGCCCATTGAGAGAGAGAGACTGGGATCATCTGACCAGTGGGCTGCAGAGAACAGCCCCGTGGGGGCACTCAACTCGTAGTAACCTCTACCAAGGGCCCACTCTGAGGGGCAACAGCTCTCCCTCCCCCTCAACTGTCAGAAAGTCGGGCCTTGGTATTTGTTTGTTTTTTTAGATAAGCATTTTATTGAGCTGTATCACAGAGCTCAGATTTTGTTTCTTGGTTTTGTTTGCTTTGAGGTAGAGTGTCATTCAGCTTCAACTCCTGATCCCCAGGAGTGCTGTGGTGACAGATATGTGCCCCCACAAGAGGCTCATGTTTGTTTAAAAAGCACAACTCGATGATTTTGGCATATTCATAAGAGTTGTGGACTAGTCTCACTAATTTTGGAGTCTTTTTATCACCTCCAAAGAGAAGCTACTGGCCAGATGTGGTGGTACACCTTTGATCCCAGCACTCAGGAGGCAAAGGCCCAGTGTTTTAGGATGGGGAATTAAAGTTATTAGCAAGTCTTTTCACAGATAAGTGGAGCTCATCGGCCAGCCCCCTTCCCTGCAGAGGGCCTCTCCTCTGAGGGGCCTGGGAGCAGACCACTGTTTATTAGCACCTGGGTGTGAATTTTCATTAACAGGTCCCTGCTAATAGTGGCTGAGACACAGGATTGTCGGTAGAAAAGGGTCACCTCCCACTGCCCCCAGACCCCATCCCCCCTTCCTGACCCAATCAGCACCTAGAGCAGACTCCAAGTGCCAGTCCATCATGAGGGCAACAGCCCAGGCGGGCACCCCCAAGCCAGATGGTGGGGGAAGCCTGTTGCCCGGTTCTCAGCCAACCTAAGAGGTATCCCAATTAAAGACTCATCTTAATGATGGGCAGTTATAAGGAAGGATGAGACTCACAGGCCCCACAGATGCCAAAGTCTGCACTGGGATTGACTCTGGAGCTTGTGTGCTAGACAGCACCTCGACTTCCAGTCCTTTGCAGGGTCTGGAGAGGTCGAGTCAGGCCAGGAAGCTGGGCACAAGGACAACCATATGGCTACCAGCCCAGGGCAGCCCACTCTGAACCCTGCTGGGCCCAGCGCCTTCCTTCCAGTGAGGGAGCTGCTTTCCCCATCTGATCTGGTTAAGAGCACTGGCTGCTCTTCCAGAGAACCTAGGTTCGATTCCCAGCACCCACATGGGAGCTCAGCTGTCTGTGACCTCAGCCTGTAACTAGAGTCTGACACCCTCTTCTGGCCTCTGTTGGCACCAGGCATGCTCGTGGGGCACTGTGACACCCATACACACGAAGAATAAACCTTGGTATTTAAGCCATTGTCATCTGAGGACATAGGATGCCATCTGAAGGCCGGGCAGAGGAAGAGGGGTGTCGGTCAACAGTGTCCTCATCAGCCCAGGATGGATGGCCCCTGAGCAGGCTGGAGAGTTTGGCTTAGCACCAGGTAGAAGAGAAGTGGGGTTGATGGGGTCCTCAGAGAGAATGAGAAAGTGGCCAATGAGACTCGCTGCATGTGGGCGAGATCACAGATTTTCTGGCCACACATGGTGAATAAAGCCAACTTACACGGGTAAGGGCACAGCGGGCTTGTGAGACCCAGAGAACTGGAGAGCTAAATAAGGGTTAGCCTCATCTAACCACAAAGCCCTGTTTGTTCTGGGGCCAGGCCTGAAGGCTTTATCCATACCTTCCCTCTGGCACGGGTCCCACTGAGAGGGGATGCTACATTGAGTTTTGTACCTGTGCGCTGTGTGCATCACCTGAGCACTGCTCTGCTCTTGATGTTCCTTGGGGCCTCTGTCATCCAGGGGAAGAACCTCCCTTGGAACCACCGGCTTCCTTCTCAGTGGATGGCACCCTCACCCCTAGATAGTGTCTTGAGCCCTCAGAGTCTGGAGAGAGCTCTGCCAGGTCTGGCTCCTTTTCGCTGGTCCTCATTATGGATGCCACACCTAAGTCCTTGGAATTTCAGGCTTCCTATTCCCTTCTACACACAGGAAGTAAAGAGGATGTGCCACGGGCAGACATGACGGTAGTCATAGCTAGCAGGACACTCCACTCAGGATCCCTTCCATTTACCCTTCCTCACATAGTTCTCCCTCCCTGGGCAGTTCGAAGTCTGGGGGACACAGACCTCTATCGTCCCTCTAGGGATAGACTTGCACCATAGACCTATGTCACCTACATCATCATATAACCACAACCAGGCCAAGGGGAGGCAGGCTGGGGACTCCGCTAGAGCCACAAAAAGAGACATGAGCAGTGTGTGCTGTGGGTATCCTTCCCCAGGCCATTTTTGTGCCCTGGGTGCCATGGATGCTGTTTGTGCCTGGGTACTGTGTGTGCCACGGGTGCTCACCCCAGCTGAGAGCCTGGCTAAAGGGGAGACTAGGGAAACTCACATGCTACCTCCTGGCTGGTTGCTCCTTCAGCCAGCCAAGCCCCTTTGACTGAGGCGGCTGGCTTGTAAGAAAGTCGATCAGACTGTTGGAGGTTGTTCCAACCAGTGTAACTGGGGTCTGCGCTGCCCCCCCCCCCAGAGTTAGTCATAGAAGTCAGGCAGTGGTGTCACACACCTTTAATCCTAGCACTGGGGAGGCAGAGGCAGAGATCCATCTGGATTTCTGTGAGTTCAAGGCCACACTGGGCTACACGAGATAAATCCAGTCTAAAAGAGAAACAGAGCCAGGCAGTGGTGGCACACCCCTTTAATCCCAGCACTTGGGATCACACACCTTTTATCCCGCACTAGGAAGGTTGAGACAGGAAGTGATATGGCTGGACAGAGAAAGGTATATAAGGTGGGAGGAGACAAGAACTTGGGCTCTTTCAGGCTGAGGAGTTGGTGAGGTGAGAGGTGGTGGCTGTGGCTTGCTCTGCTTCTTTGATCTTTCAGAAAGAGAGGAGTAGGGGGGAGACGGAGGGAGGGGAAGGGGAAAGGAAGAGGGAGGAAGGCAGGGGCCGTGTGCTGAGCTCTCATTTCTATTGAGAGAGAGAGGACAGAGCGCAGTGTTACCGGGGACATTTGGACGGTCGGTATCAGTGCCAACCAGGGCAAGACATGTGGCCAGGAAGGGGGTGGGTGGGTGCACCACGAAGCAGCAGCACAGACCCGCAAGGTGGGTCAAGTCCCCAAAGGGAGCCCCTGGGCAAGCCTAGGGCCGGGCTGGGAGGTAGCGTCCTGCAGTTCTCAACACGACCCCATGGTGTCCTCGGAGAGACAGACATTTATTTCGCTGAGCCGCGGGGAGTGCGGCGTTCTCCTCGGAAGAGCAGTTCTGAAGAAGAGCCAGCCGCCTCTCTGTCCCCTCAGTTCCCCAGGATACCCGGTGGTCCATCTCCCACCAGGGCCCGACTCTCTGACCCTGCCTCCCAAATCTGTGTGACCTAAGGCTATCCCACCACTCACCTCCACTCTTCTGGCCCTCCTTCGTTTTCTGTCTCCTGGGGCACCTAACCCGGGGCCTTGGTCAAGCTAAATGCCTACTTTCCCACAGTGCTCCACACCGGCCCTTCAGAGAGAGCCTGTGAAGAACCGCTTCCAGTGGGGCAGGTGTGGGGACAGAAAAGGGCCACACCGGAGCTGCCAGGCTGGCTGGCTTGCTTCAGGGAAGTGGCTCTCCGAGGCCTACGTACCTAGCGGTCCCCCCAGACTTGGGGGATGCAGGAGCGGGGCCCGGCTGGAGTCAGGGCTGGGGGGCAGTGATAAGCCACATGCACAGCAGCTGACAGACTGTTTATTTGCGTGAGACAGCTTAACCTCCATGAGGCATTCAGTATTCGAGGGTCCTCAAAGTCCGTTGGCCCCACTGGCTCCTGGAAGTACCAAGCTTTGAGTGTGGCTCGTTTTCGCCTTCCGGGTGTCCCGGGGAGTGGCTGTCGAGGTGGAGACTCCCTTCGTGGTCACTTCTTTAAGTGTTCTTTCTGGAGAATAATGGAGTACCTCCGCAGCCGCGTCCACGGCTCATTCCCTCTCGCCTGGGTCCTCGACGGCTTTTGGAAGCTGAGGGCCACACAACCAGCAATGAGAGCTGCCGCCCCAGCCACCCGGTCCCCTGGTTCCCTGGTCCCCTGGCTGTCCCTGAGCATTCAGGCAGGGAAACTCTGCAAGGTGACACACTGGCTTCACCTCTGTCCCCTCAGCCTGACCGTGCCACAGGAA